TCTCAAATATATACCCCCTCACACGCCAAGCACGATTTTTAGAAAGCTTTCTGGCTCTCATCTCATTATGCAAGTATTAAACTCTTTATGTTATATATATGCATTAGGGTCTAATTTGTTTAAGAGTTTTTCAACTAGCAGCAGACATTGGCTCAACAGCTGCTAGCGTAACCAATTAGTAACTTATGACAGAGATCCTTGTCTGTTAAGGAGGTCCTTTGGCATATGCTGCTGTTGCTGTAAAACTAAGACACAATACAATATTTGTTTACTTAGCAACCCCTTATGGCAGCTACTGCTGAGCCGGAGCCAAAGTCAACTGTCAGGCAATCCTCTTTCGGATATTATGTTTTCCTGCTGCAGTTACACATGCATTTAATAATAATAATAACTTTATCTGCAGATGTCCTTATCAGTTTCATTTTATGCAGCTAACAATGGCTTGCTTTTCCCCATTGAAGCCTTTTTATTCCCCACCCCTTGCTATCAGCAACTCGCTAACGTAACTCAATACTGTTTACGTTATTATTTATTTTACCATATGAATTACTTGAATATTTGTCAAACTGTAAATTTCTAATAAAAATATATGAAATGCAACTCTTGGACGTAAGCAAATTAATTAAATTAAAAATGATTCGTTTGCTTTGACAATTAAAATATTTGAAACATTTTGATAAATTCACTTTTAATTTACATATAAAATGATTAAAAAATATTATTGTCAACATTTGTATAGCCAGCAGACTTTGCTACCGAACTCTAGGTTTGCCAGCCGTTTTCCCCAGCTTGAGCCAAAACCACTTGAGAATTACAGGCAGTAAAAACTCGCGAGAGCCTAATTTTATATGTTACTGCAACAATGCTGATAATCTGCCTCATATACTTGCACTTCCACCCTTTACCATATCCTATTCAGATTATTTGCTGGTTAGAGAAATATAAAAACTAAGAATTATTGAATGAGATCGACTTGAAACCAGTTTGCCGTGCCCAAGGCTTCATATTTTATGGCTTCCCCTGGCATATGGGCCAGAAATGAAAGTCCCTACAGAACGTCTTGCCAAGGATATAAAATGTTCGACGTCGTCGCATAAGAGTTTCGCTTTTCTTTTTTTTTTTTTTTTTGTTTTGGATAATAGCGTCGACGGCAGCAGACAATACAAAACTATAAATATGCACACAGTCATGGACAAGTCACAGTTACCGAGTGGTGTCGGCCAGGGGGCGGGGAGGGGGGCTGCGTAGGGGCAAACACATGCATACATCGTATAAGCTGGAGTCGGAGCTGTCTGACACAAAAATGGAATGTCGCAGGCAAAGCAATGCCAAAGCCCCGCCCTCTCTCCAACCTCTCCTTGTCTCTGGTTGTCGCTGGCGCTGCAAGCAAAATGCAAAATTTATTGCAGAAAACTACAGAACAGCGGGCGGTGAGTTGTGCCACAGCGAGGGGCGGTATGCGTTTCGGTGTTGCCTACACTGCCGCCGCCGCTGCCGCCGCCGCTGCCACCGGATGAAGTGAGGCGTGCAAAATGTGTTAAGTCTATTGAGTGTATTAAAGCAAATAACTGCTGCGAATGAAATACATGCAACAACAACTACAACGACGACGACGACGACGACGACGGCGACGATAGCGATACATGCGGATGCCAGCGGCAGCGGAGGCTATATGGGGCGTGGCAGGGCTAAGATACGTAAATGCCAAACAGCTAACGCGCACACACATACACACACACACACCAATACACACACACACCCACACACACACACTCATGCAAATATGAATATAAATGAACAGCGACTGAGCGCGGCTAAATCAAGTGTGTGCGTGTGTGCTCGCACGCGTGTGTGTGCTTGTGTGTGTGCGTGGGTGCGGATACCAAAAGTTGAAAGTTAAACTTATGGGCGCAAAAGCAGATCGACAAGGGTATTACAACTAAAACAAAAGTGTGAACAAGCGCAGCTGCTGTGTGCGGTAATAACGAGGCCACGACAATGTGTGTGGCATTTCAAGGGAATGCGTAGAGACGGACAACGCGCGAGGGGCGAGAGCGATGTGCGATGGGCGAGCGGCGGTAGGGTGAAGCGTGTTAAATTTACAATTAAGCAACCCAGTCGCAAAACCTCCGATACCCGCCGCCACACCACCAGACACATTTGCTAAGCTCCCGTGACATAGTGGCAAATGGGCTTTTCGCGTCGCCACCTGCTCAGGTTGTGCCCTCGCATACCATTTACGGCTCCCTCTTTGCCGAGGCAATTCAATAAAGTGCCAGCGCAGCCCGGGCTGCAAGTGTCAATACAATCAGTCACACTTAAAAGCGCAATTAAAGACACAAACTGAGCGAAAGTGCGAACCCATCAAGGAACAGTCTCTGATGAGGTGTCCCAAAAAGGACAAACAGCCCGAAGCAAACATTAAGCCTGCCAATGAGCAGGCGAAACTTACACAGTGCTGGCTTAACGAAAGGGCGCCAGCTCCAATAAATGGGAACAATATGCTCAAGCTGTTCAGGTTGAGAATCATATAAGTAATTAAAAGTTATATACATTAATAAGTTGTGTACTAATTGAGCGAGTTGCTCAAGATTGTATTAAAAACCAGCATGAGTCGACAACACTTTTAGCTTGAATAGAAAATCAATCGAGCATTTAATTTTGTTGAACATGACTCCTCTATGCGAATTTCATAATATCATGTGACATGAATTATCATGAATATATTTATTGGTATATAAATATTACATGTATACGTATAGATACCAAAGTATCATATAAAATTTATGGTTAAGACTATGGAAATACTAATTAATAGATGCAGGCATCTATTTAATTAGACTGTCCGTAACGCAGCCAGAGGTAGTCAATAAATCCAATCAACCAAAACACACAAATAGCCATAGACGAAAACCCACATCAAAGTAGTTGGCAACTAAATGGTCTCCAATTTTGCTAACAATGTAAACAACGCACATGTCCAACCACACACACACACACACACACACACTCGCACACACACCATAGACATGCCATTAATAATAATGGGATCAAATTAAATAGACGCAAGCATTTCATTTTGCTAGTCTTAAAATAAGGCATGTTTAAATTGGAGAGTTTAGAACAAGTTTAAAATCGGTTTGCTCGTGTGATTTATGGATGCAAGTAGCAATAGCTTATATGTACATACTGGCAGTATATGCACATAAAAGCAATATGAGAAATAGTATTTAATATTGTTGTTAAAATTAAATTGCGTTTAATTTAATTTATGTTGCAAATTGTCGCATGATGCTAACAACGACAAGTGGCAGCAGCATCGGCAGAGGCAACGGAAATAAGCAGCTCTGACATACGGCAAATGGATGCCACTCACACACACACACACACACACGCACACTATCGCACACCCATGCATACTTTAACAAGTATTAACCCATAGATGCCACATGCGGCGCACAGAGCAATAACATCAACCTACGGCAAAAAGTGGCATCGCGTAGTAGGTAGCGGGCGGGTGGGTGGAGCCGGCTGTGCGATTACAAAAACATCAACACTTAATATGTTTATTAAATTTGTTGCTACATCATTAGGCACTAGCAGCCATATAATGCGGCGCAAACACTTTGGCAATCGCAAACACACACACATACATACACCGAGAGAGTGTACTGTTAATATGCGTGCGCATGTGTGTGTGTGTGTGTGTGCCACTGGGCGTTAATACTCTACGCCTCATAAAACGTATACTGAGGTAATTCAAACTTTGTGCAAATGCATGTTACACTTGCCAGCAGCAAAAGGAGCCATAAACGATATAAGTATAGGCGCTTGCATATACACACGCACACACACACACACACACACACACACACAGCTCTGCATAGCATGAAAGAACTTTGTGGTAACAAAAGGCCAACAAGAGAAAATTTAATTAATTATTACAGGATTCGGGCCCAAATGAATTAATGGGAACCTATACTATCTAAAACAAAATTTAAATTTCCATTAAAATAAAATTAAATTAAGCTTCGCTTGTTAAAATGCTTTCAATTATAATTATTTTATTTATATTTTTCTTAGATAATACGATTAATTTCCATCGGATGATATATAAAAAGTTGCCTTTCTGATCCGAGATAATGAAAGCTTAGATTCAACAACCATTTCCATTAATTTTCCACAGTTGTAGTTCGAGCTTACAGGATCCTTTCCATAGCATTCCATAGTCAGTCAGTCAATCAATCAGTCATGAAAAACAGTTTTACTTACACACATATTTATTGCTTTAAAGAGCAACTAAAGGTCGCTTACACTCTCTATAGACTATTTTGGCTTGCAAATGGCAATGCCCTACAAAAAGGTGCTCGAGGCACACACACACACACTCACACACTCACACACATATAAACGCTGTAACTGCCGTGTGTGCTTTGGGCCACTTTACATGGGCTTAACGATTGTTGTTTAGACGCAGTTACAGTTACAGTTGCGTTACAGCTGCAACTGCACTGTTACTTGCCCCGACAGTTCAAATATACTTAAACGAGTCTATGAGTATACACAAGTATGAGTGCGAGTACGAGTACCAGTTTGAGTTTGTGTAGGCGAGTGCGAATTGAAAGAGTTGAGGCTTTAAAAATGTGCATTGCCTACTTTTTGGGGCCATTTGATGGGCCGTGGTGGGCGGCAGATGACGGTTGGCAGCTGGAAGGCGGATGTGGGATAATTCATGTTGCCGTCACAAGTGCGTAAAGTTTGCAGCTGCTGCATAGGTGCAGCGAAAAGTTTATTTATTCGCTGTTGCAGTAAAAGTTATGCGCATTATTAATAAAAAGCAACGCTATTCTGGCATACATTTTAATCCTCATGATTATTTTTATGATAATACCCCGTAAATTTTATAAAAATATGCGAAACGCATCTCGCATAAGTCCAGCTGACATCTTCTGACAGCAGTGTCTAAGCCCTGTTTCCAACTTTTTTTCTAACCCCCTCAGCCGACCCAAGCGAATCAACAACGTTGGCCCCACTGACAATAAAGGCACGCGATCGAGACCACCAAGCTGAGGTGCACACCACCGCCAACAGCACAGCATTTGCCACGCCCATAAGCCAATTAGACGATGAGGAGCAGGCGTTGACCATTTTCCGGACGCCGCGGGCGGGCCGTTATGAGCGCCAGGTAGAAGAGGATCAGGTGGACCGTTGCAGGCTATTCGTTGAGGGAGATCCCACCAAGAACGAGCTCTACAGCCCCGAATATCCCAACCTATATCCAAAGAACATTAACTGCACGAGAGTGATAACAGGTGAGTCACATTTAATGAATACTTGTGTTATGTTGTATGTTATTTGCAGTGCGTAAATCGATAACTCGATAAATAGTCGAACACAAATTCCAATTGAAAACCCTTTGCGACAAGTCTACAAGGCAGATAAGAACTTAGCTTGACAAGTTCAAATACGCAAAGGTAGCACTCTAAAGACAGGAGTTTATTTTATAGTTTTAATAGCTTTGTTAACTGTATTATAATTTTTTCGTGAAATTCATTTAGCATGGATGGAAAACATGTTTTCGACTTTATAAACTCCTTCTCTCTGTTGCAGAAACCGACCGGATCGAACCACTATATCATCTAGCTTACATAGCAGGGGGGGATTGGTTGAATTGGTTATTATTATTTGTTTTTCAGGATATCTTGACCAAATTTGAAAGTTTCAAAAGCTCTTTACATATTGACAAAACCTTAAGAAGACCTGACTACTCTATTATATAGCTCTATAGGAAGAATTGATCGATGTATTAGTGTTTGTATGTTCAAGATATTTTCCTGAAACTAAGCAAACACGAACTACACAAATGGCTCTTGAATATTTGCAATAGTTCTACAAGGGAATTTGTTCTTCGGTGCGTCATGGAGAGACGTTCTTTCTTCTTATTATTAAGCAAGGTTTTTCGTTTTATTACTACTAAGCAACTCACATTATATTCAAAAATGTTTTTTATTTATAAAATGCGAATAGGCATCTTCAATGAGTGTCAGTCTAATCGAAGGCACTGTCATGTACACTTCTGAAATGAGTATGTGTATACATCGATATGAGTAAGTCGTGCACAGAAGCTGGCATTTATTGAAAACTCATCTTATTCAAAATGATTACTCAGTTTAAACATGCTGCAGTATGAGTGCAACCTGCAGGCAATCGCTGGAATATAGTTTTATGCAAGACAGTTCATAGCCAACTTCCTGTGGCATGTGAATGCCGCTCGAAAGAGGGTGGGAAAAGGTCTCGTTAAAGTTTATATGGCAAGCACTTTGCTGCTGATGCCACTTACTGCAAATAATTGCAAGTCTTAACCAAGATGCAGTGCGCGAAAACCATTGTGTTGACATTTCAGATGTCAGTCAGTCAGCCAATTTAGGGAGCCAGAGCCAGAACCGGGAGGGAGAAAGCCATCTGCTAACGCTTCCTATTAAAAGCTTTAGCATGTTATCCTGCTGGCCTCCAAATGCGATTTGAATTGACGCAGCGACTGGGTTTCAGTTTAAGATTGGGTTTGAGTTTGGCTTTGGCTTTGGATTAGGATTTGGCTTTCCTGTGGCAAGGCGCAGTCGTCATATTTGCGCTAGTTGCGCTTCACTGGCTTTTGACTTGACGCTTATCTGTAAACAGGGCCAAAATCATTTGTCAGTTAAGACAAAATGCGAACAACATGACTGCATGCGGAGCGAGCAGCCCAGATAAAACCTACAGTATGAAGTGATTGACATTCTATAGGCACGCATCAGCGGATACCATCATCGGATTCAGCAGTATCTGCGTCTCAGTGAGTAACAGAGAGAAACTCTGTGAGTTTGTGCATATGTGTGTGTGTGTGTGTGTGTGTGTGTGTGTGTTTGTGCTTGCGTCCTGTATTAACTTTACATATGTGCGTTAGCTTAGACAGACAGCTAGAAAGATAGATAGATAGAAAAAGATAGGCTGACTGCCATGGGGAGTGGCAGGCTCATTTGCATAACAATATGGTGAGCCGGCCGATAGACAGTGGCTGAGGACCAATTGGGTGGAGGGAGGTACGAACATGTTGCCTGTTGGCGGTTGTCTGATGCCAGCGATCCAAATGTTAAGCGGCTGCATTAGTATCAAGCGTGTGTGTGTGTATAATTTACTCCCATTCATCTCTGTCTGTACTTGTGTGTGTGTGTGGCAAGCGTTAAGGATACACGACTTCTCAGTTATGTAAGTCAATTGCTGTTAATTCATTCATCTTAATTCCCAACTACAAATATTGTGCAACTGATTTCTAAAGCATTTTCCTCTACACATTTCATACAAAAAATATAAAAAAAATACAAGATTAAGGTATATGTAGTCTAGACGTAGAAGAATAAAAGAGAAAATGCTTGGAATTCAAATCCAGAACTGTGGCCACTGTGACACATACAAAACAACCACCTCTACAATTTATGACTCCACATGAATTTTGCCATAAGAATATCTTATTTTCGAGACAGGAAAAGAGTGAGAGAATAGAGGGAGAAAGAGTGATCAAAAATCTGAAATATGTACGTTCATTTATAATTCCTCTAATAAATCTGAAAAGGTCATGTTATAAGTTTCTTGTAATCGAAGTCGATAGCGTTAAAGTATCGACAAAGATAGCAGAAACTGCTGATGCTGATCACAGTGATCCTTATAGATCCGGAATATTGACATATTTCATTTAGATTTTCAAAACTTAAATGTTACAAACAAAGAACCCAACCTTATATTAACTTCCCGCTACATACCTGCTAGCTATTTAATGCACACACGTATATATATATATATATTGAATAATATTGTAAAGTGCTGATTGCACATAAGAAGCTTAAATCTTTTTCCATTTGCATTGTCTAAAATACCATTTGATTCAAAACCTGACCTGCACATAGGTATGTGCCTCACAGGTAGTATACAGTATGGCAAATAATTAGTTTTGGGTCACAGAAGCAGCTCTTTGAAACGCTTGCGTAATGTAATTACAATGAGTTTGTGTTCGTCTATCAATTGGCATTGCCAGCTTTGTGGTTAGTTTTTCATTTAGTCTTCAATTTGTGTTGAGCTGCGTGGGCAGGAAATGCTATTCAGAAGTCCAAATTGATGCTCCAGCTCACATGCGCCGGCAGGGCGACCGAGCAGCAGGGGCGCTTATACCATAGATAGAAGCTCTGCTTTCTTTCTTTCATTTTATTTTCTCTTAGTGTTTGTGTCAAGGCCAATCAGAGTGAAAATCCCCATTCACATTCAGAGCTAGCACAAACATCGCATTTGTTTGACCAAACCTCTGTGATTTACACTTTCATTACATTTCCATTATGTTATGTATACCAAAGAAGGCCTTAGCCTAGCCTGGTGTGGTTAGCCCGGTTGCCGCCACAAGCTGTAGATCCTTTTATGGGTTACTGTGTGTGCGTGCGCCTTTTCAAGTATTATACGCTGGGCCATTGATGCGTTCTAAGGTTTCGGTCGTTATCAGCCGTTTAACCCATTTGTCAGCTCGGCGCAGACGCATCTTTTCAGCACCAGAGTTCATTGTGCTGAATTCTAATCACTTAAAAAATAATAACCAAATATTCTAACCAAATATTGATTCATCTTAGTTGAAAAACAAATTATTTAAGACATATGAATTTTAGACATTAGCTAATTTAATTATTTAAACATTTTCCTACACTACTATAAAAACAATAATGAGCGGTGAAAGTATTTTGAAAAAGAGAGCTGTATAACAAAGTAATAGGATTTTAAAATGGGTTAGTTCACATGCAAGGAGCATAATGAATCTAAAAAGTGCTAAGTTTGGCCAAGATATCCTAAAAAACAAATAAGTTGATCGCACAAGAAGTTTATATTAAGCAAATCGATGCTATGTTTATATTATGATATAGAAACACGGACGTTTCAAAAGTTGCATGATAATATCTTTACTACTGAGCGACAAGTTTGCATAGAAGCAGACAGACGGAGAGAGGGACATGTGTGTACCGAATGTTGTTACTGATCAAGAATATATATGCTTTATGCAGAACACATCCTTTCATTCGGTGTTCCAAAAGCGGTTTGGAGCATTTGTCTCCAGCAATTATTTAATACCCTATCGCAGTCATGTTGCGATTTTAGTCAAAGAAGGCCCCTTTGTCATAGATTGTGTCTATGGCAGACATTAAAGTCTCATTTATATAACTTTCCCCAAAATACTAAAAACTAGACAAATTTGGGTATTTCTTCAAGCGTGTTGATGGTGACAGGGAATATATATATATATATATATATATATATGTATACACTATATGGAATCGAAAATTTAAACTTTAATCTATTGAACATATAACTTTGTATTAAAACACAGCATTAGCTGTGTTTCATTAACATAGTCTGTGCCAAAAGCTTTGCCTCAATTATAAATATTATATGGCTTCCGTTAAAAAAATTAGATTCGGAGATTAACTAGAGCTAGCATAGCGTTATGCAGCTGCAAAAGCATAATATAATTATGCACTACCTTTCACGAATTTTAAATCGGGAACATGAGTTTTCCTAACGTTATTTAAATTTGTTTGCAGACAGCTCCTCTATATGTAATTAAACAGGTGATAGTTGACACAAATACCACAGTGTGTTGGCTTCAGGGCTGTGTTAAAACAGCGCGGAAATGTTTTCTTTTTTTATTTTTACATATTTATAGAGTAAGTCTGTTAAACAAATTGTTGTTGTTAGCCTGAGGATTTTCTTTAATCTGATTGACATTGGGGCAACATAAATAAATAAACAGATCGTTTTCTTCCTTTCATCACTACGTGCACACATTACTTAAGATATAAACTGTTTATTTGCTTCTAATTACAGCACCGAAGGGACAAATCATACGGCTGGACTTTCGCAACTCGTTTAATATTGAGGCCAAGGAGGAGTGCAAATTTGATTTTCTCGAAGTAAGTAAGTCCAGCAATTATTGGACAACAACAAAATGCCTTCGCATTATAGATACAATGTTGTTGCCAGCCAAAGCAAAGGCAATGAAACAACAAGAGCAGCAGCAGCTAAACAAACCTTAGTCCGGTTCTTGGCAAAAACTTTGTGAATAGTTTTCTTTACATTTTGCCAGCGGCAGGCAGACAAGCCTTTGGCATTTCTCCATGCAGACGTATTTGCATGGCCGTTTTTACAAAATGGCCCTCTCTATCTGCCAAAGTTTTAATTGAAAGTTGACATTGGACAGTTCCTTGCCGATTGTTGCAGCTGCCGCCCACATGTCGTATGCGCAACGTCATTCAACAAGCAACTTTCAAGTGGCCGCCCCCTATTTCAAAAGTGACCGCCAACCCAGCCTATAAACTTTAACGACACATCCGCACATCTATGCACATACATGTATGATAAAACTTTGCACATTTTGTGCTAGCTGATAATTAGAAAATAATTTTAATTGGCGCGCAGCCAGTTATGTATATTAAAGGGAAACGAAACAAGTTATTTGTCGGTCTGCGGCAAAAACTAATTAAAATTACATTAGGCACTGCGTTAGGCATTTCGCATGTGTTAATATTTATGAAGATTTTTAACAGTATTACAGGCTAATGCTTCTGTCTCTTTGCCACATCATGTCCATAAGCATCTCCTAATTAGCTCGAATGAACTTTGTCACCCATCAAGATATAACTGGCTTACGTGATGCAGCATATTTTTATTGTATTGTATTTCGCTTTAGATTTAATTTGTCACAGGTTTCATTATGACATAAGAAATATATAATACTCTGATAACATTTGTTATTCCATATCTTTTTATCAGCACGGTGGATGTTGCCACCTTGCCATATACATTTTTATTTGCTTGATTAATCACATCGGATTCAATTTGACATGGGCATCGCATTTCAGATCAGTTAGCTTGACAGTCGTAAATGACATTTTAAATTACGCGACCCCTGCCCAGCCATGCTTATAAAAGAGGTGTTTGTCACCTTGGCAATGCAGCGTTGCCACAGTTGCGCACAAGTATATGAATTCCAGATTAAGTTCAGCTTGTCAACATAAATGGACTTGAACTGTTATGACATGTGAAAACGGGATAACTACAAGCTGGACACTGCTCACTTTCAAAAGAAAACCCCCGAGCTGTTATGACATGAGAAAACGGTGTTTATACGGGCAGGCCACAGGGTGCTTTTCGTAAAGAAAATTCTCAAATTAATATTAATTACTTTTGCTAACCACAATCATAAGAATAAATGCTGTTGCAAGTTTTAGCCTAGTTTTTTTTTTTAGTTTTGATCAAGTTTTTCAAGCTATTTCGCTGACTTTTCCAGATACGCGATGGACAATACGGTTTCTCAACACTAATTGGCAAATTCTGTGGCACAGATTTCCCACCGGAAATAACCTCGAAAGAGCGGTATCTGTGGCTGCATTTCCATTCAGACGACACCATCGAATACACAGGTTTCAGTGCCGTCTACGAGTATCTCGATCGAAATCGAGAGGCGCCCAGCACGGACCTCAATTGCACCATTGAGAAGGACGGCTACGAGGGCTTCATCAACTCAACAGATGTCCCAGCTGACATAAGGGAGCAGGTGATACGCGATAAGATTGCTCTTGACTGCATTTGGCGCATACAGGTGAAAGACAACTGGAAGGTGGGTGTGGCTTCACTTTGGTCACATATACACGCAACTTCTTACAACAATTTTCTTTCCCTCTCTTTTTAAGATATTTTTGAAATTTTTGGACTTCCATCTGAGCAAGCCGAATGACTGCGAGACCAACTTTCTGGATATATTCCCAGAGCAAACAGTAATGCCATTAAGGTAAGAGTTAAGAGCTATCCCAATGACTGCCGATGGGTGGCGTATACGCAATTTTGTGCCACAAACCAATTTCCGCTTCACGAATGCGCCACAATGTGAAGCCAGCCAAAAAGCATTTTCTAACGCTGTAAAGATCAAAGCATGTAAAGCAAAATTTCAATTTATTACCAGCCCAAGTAAATTGTATGACAGCGGAAGTTGCGGCGGCGCCTTTGACTCGTCCAACTGGAATTGTTTTGTGCCACCAACCGACGGCGACCCATCTGCCATTTGCCATTTGCCATTCGCCATGTGCCATTCAGTCGGGCACATCCCTCTTTTAACACGCCAACATATTTCCACTTGTTGCGCCTCAGTCCCAGCTCTCCTGTTCTCTCCCTCTCAGCCGCACTCTTGCAATGCCATTCGATTTTGGGGCCAGCTATAGGGTTCCGGCTTTTGTGCACACTGATGGGAATATGTCGCCGATGCTGGCGTCGGGGGCAACGCCAACGGCAACGGCAACGACAGCACCACTCAATGTGATTGACTGGCCGTCTAGCTGGGGCTGCCTGTCTTGTCGGTCAGGTCGATTGATCCGGTGCTTGTTATACCCTTGCGCAGGGTATTCAAATTCACAAACAGCAAAGCTATGCTGAGAAAGACACATATGTCTGCAGGCTACTTTTCATGTTGAAGGCACTTCTTCAATTGAATATCATCATCTAGCAGTTATCAGTATAAAAAATATGTCAAATTCTTAGCTCTTGACTCTTCAAAAGCACATGCATTATAACCAAGACACTTTATTTAGAATGGAAGAGTATTTAAATGTCGGCATACCGAAGGTAATTACTTCTGCTTTTTTTCTAGTTGCCATTGCCTTTGGCAATACCTTTGATATTGTCCTTGGTTCTGTTGTCCGACGTCCCCTCGGTTTCTATTTAAATTCACTTTTCGTAACAATTTAGCAAACGTGTTGGCCAGGCAACATATCAACCTAAACATTCACTCAAGTATGGGCATGGCATGGTGTGGATCGAAAAAACCAGCGTACATAAGGAGTATATTAGATTCAAATGAACTTCAATTCTTTGGCAATATGTAGTGGATTCTATATATATATTTAAGCCCGGCATTGCAATTGTTTTTTTTTACCATGAACTCAAATTTCAAACGGCAGCTGAGACTTTACTGGAAAAATGTTACAGATGATTTGTTTCAAAATAATTACAATGTACAAAATCTGAGAATCAAAACTTGGGCTCATAGATGCGAAAAGCCAGTTTACCAAATCAATGACAATGTTTTATTGTGCTTTAATGTGAACCTAGCTAAGTTTCAACCGAAAGTCAATTTGCACAATTTTAAGCTTATGCTTGGCACATTCTGAACATAGTCCTAAGCTATGAAAACTGATGATAAACTTAAGACCTACTAAGTTGGGTATAAGGTAGTCTAGCAATTTAACATGATTACCAAATTGATTGGTTTCTTCAAATATTATTACCTTTAAATTACCTAAGTCATCATCGAGTTATAGAATATGATAAATAATTCATAAATTCATGAACTCTGAAAGGATAAAATATGTCTAAATTAAATATATATAACCCATTACGAAGCTTTCTGCAGGTGTTGCTTTAGCTTTTTCGTTTTAGGCTCAAGCATGAGAGTGCACAATTTTAAATTAACCCGCGATGCTGCGAAACGAAGCTAAAAGCATTTTTACACCCCAATATTGATTGTATATTTGCCATGCCATGTTTTCTTTTATTTGATCTGTATTTTTAACCTCTACCCCTCTTCATCGTTTGTTAAATTCTTCTTTTTTTTTGTTTGCAGAGTGAAAAACTTTTGTGGTTCGGCGGGCGAGAGCATTACGGCGGAGTCGAACATTCTGCACATGCGATTTTACGCGGAACAAAGTGCGATTAATTCAACATTCGCAATTCTGTACACAGCATTCCGGGACCGTGGAACGGGAAGTAAGTTTACAATTTTAACTAGGCCATTTCAAACATTTCAAAACTCAACGCACACTAAGTTATGCTGGCGGTGGCGTTGGTTGCGGCAGCAAATCCTTCAAATTTGCGGCACGTGTGTTAACGGAACGTCTCAAAGCAAGCAGCAGCAGCGGCAGTAGTAGAAGTGGTGGCAGGACAATGGAATAGGGCAAAGCCTGGACAATCCTGTGCTAAGCTAACGCTATCCCTCAGCTGCACCCAAACACCACAAACGGCGACGGCTCTTTGAATGGATTTTTGGGCGGCTTTTTGGCTGTCAGTTATTTTTTCCTTTTCTGTTGACTAACAACTGTCTCTCGGCCTTGTCCATGCCTTTGTCTTGCTAACTACTTATGTATGTATCTCGTTGTTGCTTATAGACTAACATTTACCGCCAAACTGTTTGTTTGTCTGTCTGTTTGTTTGTCAGCCTCCTAGCCCAGTTTTGCGTGATTGCCGCCTGTTGCCAAAGGCTAAGCACTCCTTTGTCATTCAACGATTGTCCTTTGTTCCTGGCATTGTGTTAACTTTGCCAGAGCTCTTTTTGGCATTTTACAGTTAACAACTCCCAGCCCAGTGCTAGCCAAGGCTAACAATTGTTAGGTAACAGCCAAAACTGAGCCTGCAGCCGAGACATTGGGAAGAAACTGAGCCTCAGGCTATGGTGAAAGCTGAGCAGGAGGCAGAGACCGAAGTCTAAGCTTGTACTTTTAGCTGCCAGTTACCGAGGCATTGCAATTATTGTTGCTGCAGGACTATTTGTGCTTGAGATTATGTCTATTTGCTTTTGTGTCTGCTGCTGATGGCCATTTTTTTACCCTATAGAATGTCTAACGGGAGTATTGCCGCTGCAAGCATTGATTTTGTAAACAGTCGTTCTTGCTGTACGTACTTCCAAGGATAAAGTCTGCTTTATATATACTATACTACGGTTGATCACAGTCATAGAGTCAGTATACGAAAAGTATTTTCGACTAATTTAAACTGTAATAACACTGCGAACAGAGTATAGCGCAGTCGGTGAGATGCCGACTGTATCATTTTAGGGCAATTCAAGTTAAATTCTAATCATGAATTTTTGCCTACCACAAAAAAACAGCCTGCACCGACGACGAGTACGATTGCGAGGACGCGACCTGCATATCAAGCGATTTAAAGTGTAATGAGCGGGACAATTGTAAATTTCGCTGGGACGAGGAGAAGTGTTCGGTAAGTGAGAAATCAACTAACCATAAACCCACACAGCCCACCCACCCATAGACACAGCCGGCCGTAGTACGTGCACCTATTTACCCATTCAACCATTCAAGTCATCCACAAATATAAGAGGAAAAGCATCTCCCTATCATTATGTAGGCCAAACTTCGTACATGCATCTAATTATGGGCAAACGAATGTGCCGCATACTCCTGCCTTTTATTTTAACTATGTTCAGCCACAGTGGCAGCACACACACACGCACACACAGACACACATAGAATTACGCTCACAGACACGTACACAAACATAAAGTTGGCCAAATAAGTTTTGTTGCCAAAGTCTGAGATTTGTATTCGAGGCGTGCCCCCCCACTCCCTCTCTGTGTTGTCACCGCTTGTTGTTGTTATTGTGTTTGGTTTTTCCTATTTTTATTTTATTTTTTTGTTGGTTCAGCAATTGTGTAGATGATTAGATTTGATAGGGTCACAGCCCAGCCAAAGCAAAGCCCTCTCAACCATATTCCCTTGTGACTCATTTAAGTTAAAAGCGGCAAATAGTTTGCATTTCTTGGGGCTTTTATTGCCCCCAAATAATGTGCGATTCTGTTGTAAATCTTGTTGCGATCGTAAAGCTCAGCTAATTGTTCAAGCTCGAAAAACAGCACGAAGCTTCTCTCGCGCACTTGAAAACTCGGCAAACATTGAACGTGGGTATTTTACGACTTACAAAATTTGAATACTCTTTGTAAAGGGTGTTGTGTTATTGAGAGGAGTTGTGTAACGTTTTGAGTAAACGCAAAAATAAAATATATACTTACCCTTGTAGGTTTGCTTTTATAGGAAAACCTTACTTTCCAACATATGCTTTTAATAGATTATATAGTAATCCGATCTGAGACGGTTTTGCAGATATGCTAGGGGTACAGTAAGGCACGTAATTGCTGAGTTTTGTCAAGTTATCGTCTTAGCAAGAATATCTTTATGAACTATTTTCGATCCATCCGATTCCGATATGTAGCGTCTGCAACAAGAAGATAGACCTATAAATAAGAGGAAGTTTTTTTTTTACCTAGCAAAAAAAAAGGAAGTTATTTGCCTACTACTTATAAACAATTCATACAAAATCCAAGAGAAAAAATAAAAAATTTATCACACCCGCATATGTTAGGTTCGTCCCATTGTAATACAATGGAATCCAACTGGCAATTACAGTTAATGGCACAGATTACATTCTAATGCAAGCATTTGTAACTATTTTTGAAAAATTAAACCTGCGCCATGATAGTTGTTTGTTTATAAACTAATTTGATAGTTGCGTTAATTGTATCAAACATTAGAGAACAAAAAGCGTATTTGATTTGAAAATTTCGTATGTCAAATTAGGAAATAAGGCGATTTTTGATGTTACTAATTTTGGTTTCGAATGTAAATGCATTACCAAATAAATCGCATTATTTTTTTGGACACTTCATAATTGGTCCAATGGCTCGATCGAAAGTTCAATCAAGCGCATACACAATTTATGTTTATTTAATTGGCTCACAGTCAAATTGGCGCACGATTTTTAGTTAATTGTGTTCATCGAGTTTACATTGCCAAAGCAGCTTCATCGAGCGTCTAATTAAAGCTAGTTGTGCATGTGGGCTATACAAGAGATTGGACAAAAACGTAACCCATTAAAATTATGTCATTTTATATGTCGACTTGTTTCATAGAAGAAAAACAAACGGCAAAAACTTACATGATGGAACGTCATTTAAACCATGCCAACAACCTTTTTATACAATTTTCAAGCTGCGCAAAAAATTCGTATTATACGTTCAGCCATTCAGAAAAATAATAGCCAAATAGGGTATAATAGTTTTGTACAAAATTCTGTTACAGACAGAAGGAATTGTAATTGGGAACACAAGCTCAGTTGATCCAGCCAGGTCTATCTGTTTCCCTGTATGTGCGAGAGCTTATAATTTTTTTGGTTTCCATATCTCCCTTGTATTATTATATATAAATGTGGATGGGTATGAACAACAAACAAACAAATGAATAACGAAACTAACTAAGCTCTGACTATAAAACTATAAGTATATATGAATATAGTCAGCGTTATTTTTTAAATTTACATCTTAAGTTCGTAGCTCAATTACAAAACTCGAAAATAAAGTGAACGCTGCTGTAGATAAACGCATTGATCATCATAATTGAAAAATAAGTCTATTTAATTAATAATATATTGTTATTGTTTCGTGGTATTCACAGAGTGAAACGACTGGCCAATCCGAGCATGTGGTCATCATCATCATCGTATTTGGCTTAATACTTGGCGGCATGGTCATCACCTTTATCGTCAATTGCATACGCAAGATCATACGGGATCAGAAGATAATACGCGTAAGTATCGTAATATTGCTTGATTGTAATTAGGCAGCCCTCGGCGCGCATATCTAGTGCTCCCCGCCCCACTCCCGTTTAGCGTGTCTTTGTCCTTGCCTATTTAATCTATTTGCCTTGCTCACACACTCTGGAACTCACGCCCTCTTACTCGCTGTGCTTGCCCTGCTCGCTCTTGACACTGCCTTCCCCCACACCATGAGTACGCATATTACCTCCCTATACCCCCTTGCATTCTGTGTCAAGCTGAGTAGAGCCCACAAACTAGTCGATGCGAATAGTTTTTAAATGTTAAAATTATGCAATTATATAGATTTTGTTATAGCTGGTAATGCATATCGGTGAATTCTTTTATAATGCAGCGCACAAAAGCAAACAATTTACAAAATTTTAATGTATGTAAATTGTAAAAATTTGTAGTTATTCCAGCTGACCAGATATGCAAAATGTAACCAAAACAAAGCCTGTGTTTTCCCAAAATTTCGCTTTGCTTATTAATGCTCAGCAAATGTGTGTGTGGACGTGTTTGCGTGTGTGTAGTTGTACGACTGTAATGTACGCTTGATGTGCATGATTTTTATATACCTCTTTTTATAAATGAGCAAAGAAGGTATAGCAACTTTCCAAAGGTATGCGTCAGTCAGAAGGGGCCTCTCTCACCCCGTCAAATATATGTATATATGTATAAATATGAAGCCCGTATATCTGTCTGAGAGAGTATTCTCCTAAATACAGACAAGGATCAATATTAAGATTTTTATGATCCCCAAATCGATATATTTATATATATGTTTAAGCATTGGAGACACTTGAATTTTATAACTATTTGACAATAACCACATTAGTTGTTTGTGAATACATTTTTAATTGAGTGAGGCAGTGATAACAACAAATTCCTGGAGCTTCCGTGGAGTGAGCCCCGTTAGTCTATTGCCTACAGGGTATCTCAACTTCTCTCGGACCTAATTCAAAATTAGCAAAATCATAAAAATAAGCTCTAACTGGGGAACACGTTACACGAAAATTACTTTAAAACAGGCCCAGTATGTGTACAATGATAATTATAACAACACAGCTTTCATTAGGCCTAACGTCTGCACTATGGAACAAATTGAGTTTTTCGATAATTAAAATTTAAAAGCCATCTCTTTGATTTGAATCGGGTATGGTCACTTGTTATCTATATTTAATATTGCTTGCAGAAGAGAGCTTTTATCTGCCTCATCCTACCCATGCTGCATATAACGTTTACTCGTATTCGCAATATTGATCAAATGTGCTTTTCATTCGCAACACGAGTGTCAATATGTGGTCACAGATATTTAGTTCAGTCTGCACCATAAAAATAACGTATACGCCACGTGACGAGCCGTTTGACCTTGACTCTGAAAATCAGAGCTGTGTTGCCAGTGTTGCAGATTGTAATTACAATTTATGGCACTTAGCATAAGAAAGGACAAGAGCTGGACCAAATGTCTTGACTCCTAGTTGGACTCGCCTTGGGGCTTACGGAGCTGCTTCCATGGGGAAGCAGCTGCCCGCTGCAGATGCGTGTTTGCTATCTGGGGCAACATTTCATTAGCTGTCGATTTCAATACAATTCGTCTGATATCGTCCGCCTGCCTGCCTGGCCAGCTGGTCCAGTTGCTTGGCTCTTGGCACTCAACAAGCAACCTTATGGTTTGGGAACCATTTTACTGTCAATGCACTGCCATCGTCAGCCGCCCTGTGGCTCCCTGGGGCATTACTTGCTGAGCCAGCTCAAAAAGCGACGAGAACGCAAGACAGAGATGGATAGAGAGAGATAGTACGAGAGAGATTCAGTTTAACTTTGACTTTTGGAATATTGACGACTAGCGTTGATGAAAAACAGAACCAGAACCAGAGACCGGAACAGAGCTCGCTCTGGAGCTTAAATTGAATATCATTCTGGACATGGCCAAAAATATACTGCATCTGCTTTACAACAAGTTAATTAAGTTAGTGTGTGTGGGCGTGAGGGCGTAACCGTAGTTCTGGCCCTGTTTATAGGGCGCGCAACCAGCTGCGCAGATGTTGGCAGGCCGCTTGATTAAACAGGCGACCCGCAAGACACGCCCCCTCTTTCTATTTAGCTGTGATTTGTGTGTATTTGCTTGTTTTCTATATGACTGAATATAAGAAGCTAAAGTAAAAGTAAAACCAAATGCTGAACACCTTTTGGCCAATTTAAGCTACCAAACACAATTTGAATTGGCCCAGTGTGTGTGTGTGTGTGTAGGGGTTGGGGGGGGGAGTGTTTGCAGTCTGTGTGGGGCTTTAAAGACAAAGTCTCTTGTTTTACATTTCGAGTCTACCAGTCTGCCACGCTGCCAAGCTGCCAGGCGAAACCAGTCCCACGCAAGGATGTTATTTGGAGTTGGAGTCAACAACGATGACGCGTCGTCGGGTCTATTAAATTCCTGCCAGCTGTATATGAAAGGGCGTTCGCATCGACGCTGTCCTGGCACGAGAAAAGGCGACAAGATTCCTATCACGCAACCTATTATTGTTTTACTAATGCGCTGCCTCGCCAGCCACGCCCATAGCAAACATGCCTTAGCTTTAGCACTGGCTCTCAATCTGACCTGAAATGTAGATCTGGAGCTTTAATTGACGTACTTCAGCTCATATCAGTTGTTAATTACCAACTCCTCAGCTCGAATTGCTTTGAATATTGGCTACATGCAAATACCCTGTGCCCGTTAGTAGGCGAATAAAGAGTACTTAAATATATATAAGTAAATATAAATATACAGACGGAACTATCTGTTTAGTATTCAGGTGTGTTGAATTGGGCCAATTAAAGTTTTAGTTTTTGTATGAAAAGCATCTTGTCTGTTACAGGGTATCCCTAGACTCAGTCTGTATTCATACACATACTGTTTCGAAATGCCCATCACTGTGCTCAAGAGTTAATGAAATAGGAGCTGAGAGGCCTCTTAAACTGAGCCAACTATTCAATGAATGCAGCATTGTGCTCAAGGACTAGCGAGGACAGTACAAGGCTAGAGCATCTATTAAGGCAATAAATCCATTTAAAATTGTTTAGTGGCATTTCACAGCAGATATGCAGTGCGCAAAGCAGTTCAATTGTATCTGTTCATAATGGGAATAATAGTTATTGCCAAGCTTACCAATTGATTTCAAGTATCATCCATGCAATATGCAAATGGCAACAGGAGTTTTGAAGAGCCAAACAAGTTGCTTTGCAGACAGCATGAAAATTCATATGCATCGGGCAGAAACTCGAACGTACACAACAAAGCCCCCACTGTAAGATATGCGCACTAGAACTGATTCTTGCAATTAGACGAGTCTTGTCTTACATTTATTATTTGTTTATTTTTGTTCTTGGAAAGCCAATCCTTATTTGTTGAGAATATATCTGTGGCAGCTAAAAAATGTTAAAATCATTGAAGTATACAATCTCACAGCAAGGCACTTGCCACATTTAAATTGCCCGAATCATAATAATCAAAGGAAATCAGTTCGTTATTTCTAAATTAAGGCATCAGTCTAGGTTTCGGGTTACTCGTATATTATAAGGCATATGTACAATGGCGCCATTACATGGGCCGTGTGATGTTTTTCAATTTAAACTTTTTTGCAACCTAATTGAATTACACACTGTGCACAGTGGTACGCCCACAATCATGTACACAATTAAATGGCAATCAACAATTTGTGGAAAAGTTTCCGCATCAATTGGCAACGCAGTGCAATGGATTATATGGGTATATTTAATCATACCTATCGCATTAATTTAAAGCTAGCGCTCAATATTTGAAGACTTGTCGTATGGTTAATGCTCGAATAAGACAGAAGCTTTAAACAGCGTTGGGTGGTGGGCGGTGGGTTATGGCTTTTGGGTGGGGCTTGGCGCTGATGGCTGCTGGATTGCTGGTTATTGATGCCTGCAACTCTTAAAGGCTGACATATCCAGCCGAATTGTAAAACAAGCGCTGACTATGCACGTCGAACAGTTCAATTAACACACACACACACACACACACACACACAGAGACACTCACGAACACAAACACAAACACACACGCTGACACTCAAACGTGCACCTGCACGAGGGAGTGGTGACGGTTGTTGGCACGAGGGTCTGGGGGGAAAGCTTGGCAATCTGATTATCGCCTCGAGTGCTTGGCAGAGGTTCAAGTGTGTGACTATTAGAATGGGCTGGAGAGTGAAAGGGAGGTGCATTGATGCTCTGCGTGGCTTACCTTTTTGGAGGTCGCCCTCGAGCGGCGGGTCCAATCCCAGCCCGCCTAGGCCACACAGTTTTCTAGAACGTGAAAAATTATTCCATCGATGGGCATGGAAATAAAAATGGCAAATGCAGCGGGCAGCGTTGGCGCAAAGTAAAAACTTCCGCACTTTTTTATGGTCGCTCGCATTTATGAAACTGCATCAAATAAATTTGCACAAGGCGCACATCAAATCAAATCAATTCAACGTCAGCGGATTTGATGAAATCATTCAGCAGCTCGATCGATGTTCAACGGATGAGCTGGCGGCTTACTGCCTGGGCGGTTGAGGGGCTGCGTGTGCGCGCGCGTGTTTGTGTGTGTGTGTTTGTGTGTGTGAGGTGCGATATCTGTGCGTCGACAAGCCACAAAGAAATTGCTTTGCGGCAATACCATCGATAGCCTTTTAATATGCCACTAAATGACGGCCCAACTGATGCAACAAGTCGGGCAAGATGAACGGAGAGGGTTACAAAATTAAACTCGTATACAAATGGTATATATACATATTTTATATGTATTTCCATATCCCACAGTTTCCCAGTTTACAAGTTGGGGTCGTTCGTTGCATGCAGCGCGCATGCATTGCCCCGCGCATCCCCTGCGGCATGCCGCTCATTCTTTTATCCGTTGCTGCTGCTGCTTTTTTATGGCCTTAGACTTTGTGCAATTTCTTGACCAAAAATTCTTTTACCACTTAGTTTTTAGCTTATACTTGCAGAT